ATTAATTCTAACAGAATACTTTGCCTTTTAAACCTTGAATTTAGCAAAGAACTTTCAGGTTTGGAAAAGGACATACACTCTGTAAATAAGTGGAAACCATCTCCCTGGATAGAACTAGAATCTGGTTTCAATCATTTTATTTGCCTGTCAGTTCTGCTATCTCCAGTGGCCCCTGGGTCTCCGTTTGGATTCTCCGCTTTCCCCAGAGTGGAGCACGTCCTTGGCACACCTGCCACGTGTTTCTGTGGCAGGCGCGGGAGCACCTGGGCAGGTGAGATGCGGACCTTCAGCTGCTGCCTGACCTTCCAAGCCTGAGGCTCTTCAGGGTGCACGACCCTAGTGCTGGCGGGAAACATGGCCAGTCCTGTCTATGCTCTGCGTCCTTTAGGAAAGAGCCATTTGGTTTGGGATTTTTATTAAACTCATAGGCTGTTTCCCTGTACCTGTCTTGCCCATAAAAACTGTGTGGAGATAAAAATGACAAAGGCAAGCAAGTCAAAAGAGACCCCCCCTCCCTTACCTTCAGCGAGCAAGCGGCCTTGGCTTTCATCTCCTGCTTGGCTTTCATCTCCGCCAGCAGCCCGCTGCCCATCATCTGGACCCCGTACCTTCGCCCGCCCTGGGGGCTGCCCTTGCTGTCACTCCGGTCCACCTTCCCCACGTCTTCCCCTTGACTTTCTTCCAGGGAGTCGGGTGTTTTGATCTCCTCCATCCGATCAGCACTGCCGTTGTGCTCGGCTGGCTTCGTGTCCTTCCTGGGGGCATCCACAGCTGGACTTCTGACTCCCGCCTTGGGGGAGGAGAATTCTTCTGCTGTCAAGAGTGTGGAGGACCTCTCAGGTTTGGTCCGGGGTTTGATTAAATTGAGAAAACCAGTTTTCCGAAAGTCGCGTTTTTTCTTCTCATCTCCTCCTTCACTAAGCTCGTGGGACTCTGAGCCCCTCGCTGACCATCGCCTGTGATTCAAAAGAAAATCCTGTTGGGTTTACTGTAATTAAAGCTTCAGTAAGAGTCACTCAAAATAGAAATAGGGAGACGGCTGCTTATATAGCAACAATTCTGAAACATTTTAAAAACTTGACTTGGAAATGGGAAGGTTGAATATCATCATCATATCCACGGGTGAGGAAACTGACGCACATAAAAATTAAGAATGAGAATCTGAAGGTATTATTGGGAGGACTGAGAGCAGAGGTGAGTTTTTTCTGTTTAAATGCTATAGTCAAGTGCCTCTCCACTCACAAGAACTTTTAGAAGAGGTAGCTCCACTCACGGCATAGATGGCTGACTGCCTTATTTAATTTGGAGGCTCTGGAAAGGCCCAGATTTCCCCTTAAGTGCCTGTAATCCCTCCACAATCATTAGATAACATCTGAAATCCTGCCCTAAGTGCTCAACTCAAACCAAGATCCAGATCCTTGCTTAAATGTAAAAATAAATTATAAAAATAAAAAGCACTATTCAAAACCAAAAGAAATGTAATACCATGGAAAGAGGCAATGACATGAAAAAGCAGCCAATGAGCTTTGGGAGAGGTTTTTCAGAATATTCTGAACATTCAGAAACTTGGGAAATGGATGGGGAGAAAGTAAATGATTTGGGCTGAATGCGAAGTATCATGAGAACCTTTCACTTAAAACTGGAAGGTACCCATGTAGCTCCTCTGAGTCCCCAGGAAAATCCCAGCAGGAGAATTTTTTTAAAAAAGGAAAAAGGCCTAAGCCCCAGAGAGGATAAAAAGCAAAAACAATAGTTTGGAAGCCAAAACAGTTAGGAGTGGAAACTGACTTCATAAATCTGGGAAAGCTCACCCCTGAAGTATTAGTTGGGAAGGCCCAGAAACAAATGGATTTCAGGTGAAGGTAAACAGAACGTGCCATCCCATAATATGCTTGTGGCATAGGATCATTTTAGGCTGGTTATTTTTAAGAAACAGCAGAGACAGGGGAAATTTCTCTTCTGTAAGAGAAATACACATTTATACGGAAAATCACCATGTGTAAGGGTGTGTACCTCTCCATACCAGGAGAAGAGGGTGACTAGGATCCGTAGAAATTTATCCACAGAGAAGGGCCGGGACCTAAACCTGCAATAACAACCTTACCCCTTATTTTCCTGGTTTATGACAACCTCTCCAAACTCTTTCTTCCGTCTTTAGCTGAAGTTGGTATTTAATGTGGTGCTGTGGGCCATTTCGAGGAGTTACTCAGTGTCTCTGGGTATCTCCCATGTATATAGGAGGTACATGTGTTAATAAACTCCATGAAACAAGAATAACAGAAAAATCTGATAGCAGAAATGGAAAACTCAAGGTTGGAAGGTAAGACTGAGAAAATCTCCCAGAAAGTTGAGGCAGGGAGGGGTAAGAAAAAGATGAAAAAACAGAAGAGAAACAGTTAAAAAAAGAGAAGAAATACAGTTTGAATAATAGAAGTAAAAGAATATAGAGGAAAAGGAAGCAATTATGAAAAATAATTCAAGAAAAATTCCAGAACCAAAGGACCCAAATTTCCAGATTGAAATAGCTCATGAGTGCCTTACAAATGGGTTTTAACAAAACAAGATAAAAAAAACCCACATAGAGCATATCATCATAAGATGTCAATATACTAAGAACAGAGAGAAGATCCCAAATACTTTCTGAGAAGCAGAAAAGCAAGCCACAAACAAAGGATGAGGACTCAAGATGAGTCCTTAGAGCAACATTAAGAAGTCCTTGGATTCTTAGAGCAACATTAGAAGTAAGAGGATAAGGGGACCAAGTTTTCAAAATTCTAAAGAAAGATGGATTCCAATCTAAAGTTCTGTAGCTGTCACAGTATTAACCAAAATACAAGACATATGAGTTTCAGAAACTCACCTCCTGTGCTTCCTTCTTCAGCAAGTAACCAGAGGAGGTGCTGCCCCAAAACAAGAGTGAAGTAAGGAAGAGGATAACCCGGCCAAAGGAAACAGGAAAGACACAGGAATGAGTGAGGAGAGACCCCCCAGCAGATGGTGAAGTGGGAGGCAGAGGGGGTCCCCTGGCAATGACAACACATATGATCAGGATTGAATATGCACAGACCGCTCCACTAATTCAACATCAAAAGTTGGGGACGAGAAGAGCCTACAGTATTATCTGTTTATACAGACACAGGCCAAGATTGTCTTGATTCATTCAACCAAGAGTGTCTGAGGGCAGATTATACATTACGGGCTGTGTCAGACACAGAAGTTATAATGAAAAATCAGACCCAGGCATTTGTGTGAAGGACAATACTCTATAGGAAGAAAAGACTTGAAAACAAATCATTAAGAGGGATTTCCCCATTTGGCTCAGCTTATGTTGCTACTTCCTGAATCGTTTGCATTGAGACTATGTTCATCCATTCCCCACAATGTAAAAAAGAAAAAACAAAACAAAAAACCTCAAGGGATTATGTTGCTCTAACAGATGTATACAGGAGATGAAAAGAAAAAAAGCGTCAAGTCAGCAATAGACAAGGGCTGTTAATTGGGGAAGAGATGAGGGAGAGAAAAGCTTCAAAGAATAAATGATATTTACATTGGATCTTGAAGGAGAGAATAGAATTTTCCCCAGTATGTCAAGCTTCAAGGCCAGTGTCAAAGGAGATAAATAATTGGGTCCTAAAGCTTATAACATTCAGTAAGTTATACTGTTATGGATATAAAAATTTGACTTGCTCCCACCTTGCCATCCTGCAAAGGCAAGATAAGGCACATCAATCTACAGAATGGACCAGTTTTCCTTCCCTCTGCCCAGCCTGCCCACCCTCCACTTATCAGGATGGTTTAAATTAGTTCCTGGATTTGATATCTCAGGTGAAGAACACTTCACCGACACAAATCCTTATTCAGAGTGTACTTAGGAATGGATCTGCATTTAGTTGGAGATTAAACAACTTGGTACAAGTCATGCTTAAAAGGCTGGAGTGTTTCAAGTTAAGCTGTTAATAAAAGTACCACTGAGTTGACTTCTAAGGAAACTCCATCTTGGTAATAAGAAAATTCAGACAGAACTTTTCAGAGGCTAAATCTGAAGCCTCTTTACTAATTCTGTTGTTGTTCTGACTCTGGTAAAGCAGTGCTACTTAGCAATGAATGATGTGTGCTCCCAGACATATCAAATTATAAACATGGGGAATTTAAAAATACAGTTGACCTCTGAATAATAAGGGAATTAATTCACAGAGACAGTCCTCAGTATCTGAGTTTGTCTACATCCACAGATGCAACCAGCCAGGGCCTGTGTAGTACCAAAGTATCTACTATTGAAAAAAATCCACAAATAAGTGAACCCAAGCCATTCAAACCTGCACTGTTCAAGGGTCCACTGTTAGTAATTTCAGCCTGCCAAATGTATCTCATTGTCTGAGATACATCCAGATGAATGTANGCCACCCCGCCCCCCATACTTGCTTCCTTTCTTTCTTGCTGAAAGAACTCTGGTTTCAAAACATGAATACTTAAACAGTACTTCTATCTCCTTGCCTGTGACTGGTATGATACAGTTCTGGCCAGTGAGATATAAGGGGGCTCATGGGCAGGTTTTCCTGCAGAAGAAGGGATGTGTTTTTTTTTTTGCATGGTTATGAGAGAGAGGGTGTGATGTCTGAGCCACAGCAATCACCTGGAGTTGAAGAGCAATTGAGCATGAAGATAAAAGACACCATGCTGAGGATGACAGAGCAGAATAGTGGAAGCTACTGGGTGCTTATGCTGTGCTAAATAAACCCGCCCTGGACCCCGACACTTTTAGATTTCTTGTTAAGTGAGAAAATAAGTATTTCTCATGGCTTAAGTCATTTCCAGTTCAGCATCTCTCATATCTCTCATTCATAAATGCTTTCCAACTAATAATACAAGGTATGACAGTGAACAGCCTTGAATCTTATGCTAAAGAGTGTAGAATTTATTTTGCAGGTGAGAGGGAGCCCTGAAGAAGTGTCATGACCCAACCTGTTTTGGTCAGATAATTCTGGGGCAACATGAAGGATATATTGGAGAAGGATATATTGGAGAATAGAATAAATTCTATTCAAGAACACAGTGAAAGACTTCTGTGATTGTTTAGTCTAATCTGGAGGAAGGTGTGGGACTGAGTAGTAGGGAAATGAGAAAGAAAGAAAAAGACATTGCCTAAGATGAGGCTGAGGTTTCCAGCCTGGGTAGATGGCAGCGTGATTCTAGGGAACATAGTTCAAAGATCTGATTTGAGAAGATGCTGCATGTAATGTCAGGCAGTGTTGTTTGAGGTGCTGTGGAAACCCAGGGGTAGGTGCCTAAAGCTTAGGTCTCAGGACAGAATCTACGAGGGGCTGTAAGGAAGTCATTTAGCACTCTAGCATTTGTCTTTGAATGGACAATTCACAGTGAGTTCAATAACATGCTTGGTTTTGTGTCTGTGAAAGTGTATTCATATTTCACACAGAGAGGTTGTGGGCCATTGAGAAAGAGCATGTATCTTGCCCATTCTCTTGGGCACAGACAGATTCCCATGTGGTTGTGATATCTGGTCTGGATATCTTGCCATAGAGCGGTGGGAAAACTCCTTTCTGTGATCTTGATTTGCAAGTCTCAAGCTGCCTCTAGGGGAAGCTGGCTCTTGTCTGCACAGGCATTGTTTTAAAAAAAAAAAGACCCATGATTAGCTTTAAACAATCATCCGCTCCGTTCACTGGCAACGTCCATTATGGAAATGAGCTGTGTGTTTGAGTTCATGATTGTGAAATGCTGAAAAGTGAGCAGATAACAGGTAACAGACCAAGAACCCTGTGAAACATGAAAACAATTATACCTCTCATCTGAATGGTGCTTTTGAGTGGAGCCAGGCTTTCCTGTGCATTGCAGGAGAGCAGAGAAACAGCCAAGTTCAATAATTCAGTTATGGCGGGAAAGCAGCTCATTGAATAACTTCTGCTTTGATTACAAAAGACAAAGTAGCACAGAACTAGCTTGGATGCCATTTTTCCTTTTGTAAAAGAAGACTAGAATTTCTACAGTAATAATCACTCCCTAAGTTTGTACAGTGCTTGATCATTTACTGTTATCTTTATACCTACCCTTTGAACTGGAAAGGAAAGATAGTCTTATCCTGGGTTGTGGTTAGTCCCAGATCAAACCATGGCTCAGAGTGTGAGGGGCTCCTGCTTAGGTCACCCGACTGATGGATGACAAAGGTACAACCCCAGAATGCATGCTCATAACCTGGGACATCCTTCCATGGCACCCTCACTTCCCCTCAGGGGCTGCCTCTCAAATTCCTCTTCCAATTTTGCGGGGGTAAAAAAAGTTTTTTTACGAGTATAATTTCTCCTTTCAGCCCTTTTCTTTTTTCCTGCTTTGAAACAATTCACAGCTAGCACAGAAGGTCTCTGGGGACATGAACAATCAGCAGGTTTCAGAGATGAAGGCAGGGTGAGCTCAACAAGCAGTCTGCTTTCCCATGTTGCAGGACCAGCCAGTTTTTACAGAACCTTAGAGACCCCTGGTCCAACTCTATCACTTTAGAAATAAAGAGACTAGGAGTAGAGACATTGAGAAGTCCAATATCACTGGGAGACCTTGAGCAAGATGCAGCTGAAAATGCACCTGTTAAAAGTAAGAGATGTCAGCAGCCTGTAAGAAGGGCAGCAGAAAAACTGAAGACTGAAATGACAGGTGGCTAGTCAGAGGAGTTCAAGGCCAAACACACATGCTGTTTTAGCTCGATTTCCAGGGGAATGAAAAGAAAGGACATACAGACATCAGAAGTTCTCAAAATTCCATTTGACTTTGGTCTTTTCTGTCAAGGATTATAAATTTCAGACTAAAAAGGGAAGCGGAGCTGGTGGGAAGGGAGTGCAGAAAACCTTATCCCTGTGCTGATTGGAACCCCCTGCATCTGTGCTCAGAGGAAGGATTTTGCAAATAAAATCAGAAATGGTTGTTGCTGGTGTCTGAGAAAGGAGGGCAGATTTCTCATCGCCTGTGTATATATAAGTAAATGCTAAAAGGATAATTTGTGAATGCTTAGAAGATAAGCCGGTGTTTATGAAGACTAAACACAATTCAGACCACCCTCTGTTCTCCCTTCGCCTGGATTATTAAGATGAATGCACCAGGGCAACACCAGAGGAGATGCACCTGGATTTTGACAAGGTGGCTGTCAGATCTCTCCTAACGTCTCCACAGGCCGGATGGAGAGAGATGGGCAGGAAGCAAGAACAATTAGGTACATTAGTGGCTCTGAACAAAAAACCCAAAGAGTGCTAATTAGTGAGTTGAATAATCATGAAATCTGATACACATGTATTAGACAGTAAGAAACATGAAAAAGAGTCAAGCAATCAAGCCAGCAAAAAGGGAATCCAAAAGGAAGTAAAATAAATATAATTTAAAAAAACAAAAACAAAAATTAATGGACTTCAGAGGAATAGTAAAGCTAATTCTTTGAAAAAGACTCCTAGATGGTAGAGAATCTGCCTGCAATGCAGGAGACCAGGGTTCAGGCCCTGGGTTGGGAAGGTCCCTGAAGAAGCGAATGGCAACCCGTTCCAATATTCTTGCCTGGAGAATTCCATGGATCACAAAGAGTTGGACATGACTGAGTGACTATCACTTTCACTTTTAGTAAATAAGACTGTGTAAAATTAGGATAGAAGCATTAAAATACATTAGAAATGAAATAAATTGGGACAGAGCTATTGATACAAAAGGGATTAAAAACTCTAATCTAATGAACTAAGTGGACAATGTCCTAGAAAAATAGAAATTACCAAAATGCTCTCAAGGAGAATAAGGTAATCAGAATAGATCTGATGAAATGAAATTCATATATTATGGTAAGGCAAGGAAAATTTAAACATAAAATTTTTCTCTGCCCATTTGGACCTCCTCTCTCCCCTCCAGAGTGTATTATTAATCTACCTTAATCAGACCTGCTTAGGAGAAGGAATCAGAATGACCCACTTCTCACTTTGTACATGCAGGCCTGGATTGTGTGAACTGTCAGTACATCATGTGACATATAACCCTTTGTCTCAAAAACCAATGTAACTGTGTTCTGACCTCTAACAGCAGAACAGGCCTGAAAGACTGTCTGTCTCCCAGGTTATAATCTTCAGGTTGCTGCAAATAAAATTTTTCACTTCTTTCTTAGATTGACTGTTGATTAATTTTTTTGTCAACAGATCTATAACAAAAGAAATCAAATCCCTAGTTTTAAAAAAAAAAATCCACCTGTGAGCATTAACATGTAACATGTAACACATGTGTTAGCATGCACATGTAACACATCAGGCCCAGGTGGCTTCCCAGGAGAGGAACAGAAAATCTATATGACGTGCAAACTCTGCTCCAGAGAACAGGAGAGGAGAAAAAGAAAGGAGAAAGGTCCTCAACTAACTTTATGAAGATAATTGTGATGTCACACAGTGATCTATAACAAGAAATACATACTTTGTCTTTATCCCCATTTCTGGCAAGACCTCTTACACCCTTGGAATTTCCTGATGAGAGCCATAAAGGTATTTTGGTTACATTAATGAAGTGACTTTGGAACCACCTAAAGATGGGGGTTGATAGCCAGGAGACCCAACCACGTGATTAGAGGGTTGAACTTTCAGTCCTAGCCCCTGAACTTTAGGGAACTGAGAAGGTCCGGAAGTTTAATCATTGCCAGTGATAGTGATTTAGTCAATTATGACTGAGTAATGAAGTCTCCCTTAAAACCCTGAAAGGACAAGGTTGGGAGAGCTGCCAGGTGGGTGAACATGTGGAGATGCAGGGAGTGTGATGTGCTAGAGAGGGTGTGGAAGCGCTGAGCCCCTCCCCTACATCTCTCCCTAAGCCTGCTGTTCTTGAGTTACATCCTTTTATAATAAATGGGCAATTCAGTATGTAATGTGTATGTTAGCTGCTATAACAAATTAATCATACCCAAGAAGGATCATGGGAATCTCTGATTTACATCCCATTATCAGTATGGGCAACAACTGCCAACTAAGATTGCTTCTGGCCCTGTGGTTCTATAGGAATTAAGCCATTAGCCACCGCAGTCACTGCCCTTTAACACACCCTGAAAGGAGTTCAGGATGCAGATCAGGAATGAGGCTCTCTGTGATTCGGGAAAATTGGCAGAATAGGACTTCAGATAGTTCAATATTTTCAAGAGAAAATTTTCTGAACCTAATTTCATGCATCTTCCCCTACTTAGAAAAGTACTGAAATCATTAAGATATCTGCACCTCATGACCAGCAGCAACCTTCTACTGCTGCCGACCTCCACCTCTGTGAGCAATTTTCTCAGAGGCTGTCCCCAGGCTACAGTCCTCAGTAAGACTCCAAAGAGAAATGAAACTCACAGGTCTCACGCTGTGTCTTCATTTCAGTTGACAGTATCCTTTAGAATAAACCAGTAATAGTAAGCAAAATCTCCTCTTGAGTTCTGTGAGCCATTCTAGCAAATTATCTAAGCTAAGGAAGGGAGCATGGAAACCCCCCATGAAATTACAGTTGGTCAGGAGTACAGGCGACGACCTGGGACTGGTATCTGAAGTGAGGGTACCCTGGAGCCCTTCACTTGGGGAGTCAGAATTGAATTGAATTGTAGACAGCCAGCTGTGTCCAGAGAGTTGAAGAATTAATCAGTGTAGGAGGAAAACCCCACACATTCAGTATTAGAAATGTTCAAAGTAAAAACAGCCTCTAAACTTGGGCTTTGAGAATTCTGATATCCAGAAAAGCCCACTGGGGCATTAGGCATCAAGGACAAGCTCTAGAAAAGCTAAGATTGACTTAGGGTGGGCTGGGGCTACCTAGTCTGTCCAAACAAAACCAAAACAACACTAATATTAAATGACTGCTGCCACTAAATACTGCAACCTTCTCACTCTCCACTGGAAAATGCAGGTGATGGGGCCTCTGTGGCAACTTCGCAGAGTTGTTCAATGTGAAAGCACTTTGAAAATCGCAAACTCTATGCAACCATTAGACAGTATATTTTCACTGTGCATCCAAGGGAGAGTCAACTGTGTACACTCACTAAGCCTCTGGGAAGAAGCGAGATCTGTTTCAGACCCAGGACTGTAATCCATTATCTGAGGACACATCCTGTGCTAGCGTCCCTATGGAGCACCCTGGGGTTGCTGACCCTATAAACCCTAGTTTTCCTATGGACAAAGTCAAGATATCTCTAGAATAGACCTGAGTACCTTCCTCCACCAAAACTATGCCATAGCTTTCTTCCCTTCCCTGTTTCTCATTTTTCAAATGAGTAAAAGAAAAAACATTCCCTTTCCCGGGGTCACTGACTTAAGGGGAAAGTTAAACCTTGTGTCACATATATGTTGTACTGCTAATGACTCTCCACAAGGAAAGGGCCAAAGGAACCATTTATTCCACAACCAAGTAGAATGTGGAATATGGGGTGTGTCTTTTCCCTATCTGAAAAGGCTTTTCCCTTATTAAAAAAAGAGAGAGAGTCGTTTATTCCTCAAAGAATATGTAAAAGTGCACTAAGAAGTAAGTTAGAAAAGAACAATTCACTAAAATTTCTTTGTTTTTCTGAAACCATGTCAAGCTGTTCAAAATCAAATGATAGAGCAACCAAATATGAGCACCCTGGATCTGGTGTGAGCAAACGCCTGACCACACGGATAACTGGTTGTGACTTTTCTCCACCTACGACTCCAGTCATCCACCTATCATCCAGTGAGTACTGAATGCCTGCTATGTTCTCAACTCATGCTAAGTGCTCAACACACAACTATAGATGATAAACCACACACTTCCTACATGAGCTTACACACAAGGAGGAGACCATGCTTAGGAATCACTGTACAGTGAGGGCTGTAACAGGGTAACAGCGTCAGGCACTGGGGGGGGGGGCGGGGCGTCCATGGAGGGTTGTTCAGGCTGTGCACTGTGCACAGCCATCTTGTGAGAACAGCCTTCTGCAGAGCCGTGCACCCTCATCTGTGTGCGAGTACAGAGGTGGAGACAGGGAGGGCTTCCTGGAAGAAGTTGTGCCTCATTGGAGGTCTGCAGGATGAGTAGTTATCCATCCAGGAGCTAAGGGTGGGGGGATGAGGGAGTGGGGAGAGGGGAAGCCATGACCAAAAGCTTGGATCACTAAAGGCTTGAAACACAGGATGAGAGCAAGGGCTAGAGGGGTGACAAGGAGGAAGGGGAGGAGCAGGTGGGGCTGACGGTGGGGAGACGGTGATCAGGATCATATCCAGGTTTCTAGCTTGTTCACCGGTGATGCTCCTTCTGGAGCAGGGCAGGTTCATAGAGAAAGGCTCCTAGTTTTGAATTTGTTAAACGTGAGTTGTTCTGGGACATTCAAGTTCAGGAGGCAGGTGAATATCTGAAGCTAGAGTTCAGCAGAGGGGGCAGGGCTCAACAACAGGGAGACCGAAGCCATGGGTTCAGATGGCATCGCCCAAATAATACGCTCACAGGTCAGGCAGAGGAAAGCAGCAAAGGCATCACTGGAGAAGTGAATAGAAAAGAGAGTGATGCTCAAAGGCCCTGAAGGATGGAGCTTTCTGGGTCAAGTAACTGCTGAGATGTCAAGCATGCTGACAGCTGCCAAGTGTCCACAGGGTTAGGTCAAGAGTGACCTCTAGCAGGGCAGTTTCAGAGTGGAGAGGTACAGAATGAAGACTTTGGTGGGTTATAGAGTGATGGCAAGGTGAGGAAGAAATACCATAGGCATAGACCAATTTTTCCAAGGAGTCTGTCTGCAAAGGAGAGGAAAGACTAACCAGAGAGCCATGGGGTCAATTGTATTAAGCCTCATTAGCAGAAACAATTCCATCCTCCTCTGCATAAAGAGCAGGGTGTTGAGAGGCACACCACTCACATGGTCCTCCCAGTAAGATGTCTTCTCCACCTCCCAGTTTGTGGGTTATCAAAAGCCAGAGGGCCAGAGCAGGTCAGAACATGGAGGTGGGGGAGTATATGGGGGCCCTCCAAAATCAAATGCAAGCAATTTTTAAATCACAAATCAATTCTTCGGTACTTATTTTCCATCTTTTCATACCCATACACTATATAACTATAGAGTAGCCTGTTTGATATTTTCATAAAGATTTCAAGGGGGCAACTTTGTTCCAAAGGGTTGAAAACTTTCCAGCATTCTCTTTTCTGAAAATGTTGAACACCAAGTGAGATATTTTGCGTGAATCTCACACATACGTAGAGGTTCTAATCTTAACTACAAGCTTTCACATATACAAGGCACTTTTATAAGACTCTGCAGTTTTCCCTGGAGGAGGCCAGTAAGGGGCTACCAGCCCACCTACCGCTGGGTGCGTGGACTGCTGCTTCTTAGCCCGCTTTGGTCTTAACTTGGTAAAGTGCTCCAGCTTCCTTCCTTCCTCGGAGGGCAAGTCAGAGATAAACCCTGAGCTCCGCTTCTCTTGTCGGATGGATGGAAAAGGTGGGTCTTCAATATGAATGGGCACTTCTTCTAGGGCTTTATCTAGATCAAATTCCATTTCTAAAAGAAAGCAAAGCCCCAGGCTGAAGATTACTGCATGGAGATGGATAAAAATTTGCTAAAAGTAATTTTAAGTCTATTAGGGAAGAGCAAACACCCATTCACAAATCACTTAACCCTCTTAATTTACAGCATCCCTGAAAAGTATCCTTGAAGTGGTCCAAGGTCCTTGCTGAGGGTGTTTCATAGTTATAAGAAAATGACTGACAAAACGGAATACTCACCGAAAGCCCTGGAAACAGGCCGCAGCATTCGGCTGTGGATAGTCTTCCTTTTGGATTTAGGAGTCATCTACCAATAAAATAAAGAAAGTACTTAGCTTTCCCAGAAAACTTGACCTCCAAACTTAAGAAACATCTGGCAGGTATAGGGCGGGGTAGTAATATTAGGGAACAATCCTTTTAAGCTCAGTATTTTATTTTTTTAGAGGATGGCTAGTGACCTCTGACAGCCTGACTACAAAGACTAAGCTGAGACATTTCTAAATGTTTGTCATTTTCTCAAATGATATACAGCCCACTTCTTCTTTCCCCCAGGCCTAATCAGTTAAATTCTATTTTTATCGCTGAAAAGAACAATGAACAGTATAAATTTAACTCCCAGCTTCACATGAGGATGTTAAAACGGATACAACGAATAAGAAGGGAAGACTGTAAAATTCAGTTGCTAAAAATTGAAAGCATGACCGTTCACTGTTCATTACCACAGCAATAGCAATGTGAGCAACATCAGACTCTGTCATTTTAATCATTTAAGTTATGTAACTGCTTTGGTCCACATTTCTACCACAAAAATTTTGATCTTTATATTACGGGTAAAGACCATAAAAACCAAAGAAAGTTGCCATGTCTGTATCTGCTGTCACTTCTCATCTTTGATCCTGCTTTCTCTTTAAAAGAGAGAGACAAAAACCCAAACCATGGCTGAAATTTCTTAACAGCATTTTTTCTAGCGTGGGTGTCAGCTGTTGATTGTGTAAAGTCAAATCCAAGGAAGACATCAGCATATCCCTCAACAGAATCACTCCTGTCAAAGCTGGAAGGGACCTTGGTCATCACCTCCACAAACAAATTCTAATGAAGAAACTGCATCACAGAGATGATAAAGACCACCGTTCAAGGGAACAGGAGCAGGGCCCGGGACAGAGCCAGTTATAAAAGTCAGCCCAGCATCCCTCCTACCTCACCACCTGTTAACAGTATACAGATGGATGGCTTTTAGGAATGTTACATATTTGATACTAGAAACTAGTATTGGTGAAAACTGAGAGATAACAAACAACTTAGTTTGTAGACTTTCATTTCACTTAGCAGGCTGTCATCTAAAGCTTTCCAAAAAAAAAAAAAAAATCCACAAGGTTGATAACCTTTCTTCAAAGAATATATTTTCTTGTTGATCTTTAAAGCAAAGAGCTTTACAGTTTTGATGATTTTATGCTAGTTTTAATAATAAAACTTTTGCTACTACTTATTGAGAGAAAAACGGAGATTAAAAAATGATGAGCAATAGAATTTAAATCTAGACAGGTCTTCCTGAAATGCACAATGAAACTAGCTGATTTGGTTCTTTCAAGGGTTTTTTTTTTTTCCCCTCCTTTTTTAAAGGCAGACAATCAGAAGAATATCTTTTTATAAAGCATCAGGCTTTATAAGTTCAATAGAAACACATCCAGTTTCAAGGTAGTTCTCCCCAAAACTGGCCTTGCAGTGAGCTGAAGGCAGCCTCAAAACTAGTCTATTCTTAAGTGAAATCTCTAAAAATAATTTTGAAGGAGACACAAACTATCAAAATACATGCTGTGTTTAGTCATGAAAACTTCTTTAGTATTCTATCTACTTTGTGTACAACCTGGATAGGCAGAAGGATCAAGAAGTAGATTGGGATATAATTTCCAGCCAATTCACTTACATAGTCACAGATAAATAGGAAAGTACTTTAAAAATGCATAGCATGGAGATGTCTTCCAATATTTTCCTCTGACTCTGGATTAGATTTATAAGCGAGTTTGTGGGCAAAAATAATCTGGGTCAAGTTTCCCCATTTAGCTTTTATAATGAATACCAAATACACACAAAACATAATAATAACATTTCAATTATATCACAATTTTTAAATATATAAAAGAAATAAGAAATTACATATAAGAATACATATATATAATAGCAAAGATAGATAAACTCATTTACAAACTGACGCCGAACTATAAATGGTCATTCAACTCAATCTAATTTTATAGACATATTGAGAAACATACAAAATCATCATTAGGATTTCTGATGGTTGACAGTAATCAAAGGAACCAGTTTGCCTTTCTTGGTCTAGCTTTGCAATGCCTCAAAACTTAGTCTATGAAATCTGAATATCAGAAGCATGCATTCTAATGCATTTTCATTGCTTTATTTCATATGCTCTTTACAAGAGAATATAACTTCCATTGCATTTCGCATAAAACTCTTTATATTTGATACATTTGTGAGTTCTAAGTTTCTGCCATGTTTGGACAAGGCTGATGGCCTTTTGCTAAAATGTGTAGGGCTTGCAATCAAGCTGGTTTCTACAATCGGTGTTAAGAATACAACCTGATTTTATACATTTCTTCTGATGGATGAACTCTTACCATCTCCTTCTTTCATGAGAAAGAATAAATATGGGTTTAAGTATAACAAGAAAAAAAGGAAATTTATTCCTACATATTTTTCTTTCTTTTCTTTGTAACTGTTTCTTCCTTAACAGTTTAATGGACAATATGGACTTGCTGAATCTTACTGGCTTATTCCTATGGTTCTACTACATATAAACTAAAACAAGAGAAATGTAAGAATGAGCTATAATTATCCACCTAAGAGTACATTTAGGAACACATATTGCATGTTTCTCCAGAAACATGGTTTCTATGCACCCTTGCCTCTTCCTCCTCACACCTGTTGGTTAGATGAATTGAATCCTGGGGGGAAAAAAAACTGGTTTTACCATCCTGATTTACATTTACTGTCTCCCATTTTTGGACCAAAATAAAAGGGCTACTTTTCTCAGACTGTTTCTTAGTCCTCATTTACCCTTCCTGGACATTTATCAGTGCCTAAGTATTGTCTGATCAGAGAAATCACAAAGTGCCCAACAAATAAAGGGGATCAACAGTGGAAGCGGAAGAGGTACATACGCCAAATGGATCCTTCACAAATCAATGTATTATTAACACGGCCAACAATTACTTCAGGCCCAAACAAAATTACTTTGTCTTTAAAAGTGAATTTTAATGGTAATAAGCAATTTTCAACATTTACATCCACGGGAAATATGAGGAACAATATGTTAAACCCTTTCAATGTAATTTAGAAGGAAGACTGAACAGACTTATTCTGACAGCGTAAATATCAATAAATCCCCATCATGGCAGACAGTGAATGAAATGAATGGCTCTATTCTCAAAGCATCTAAAAAAAGCAGCACAATACCTATACTGCTTAGAAATCTTACTCATTTGATCCAGTTTTTATAATGGATTTATACCTATTCTCCATGTAAATTCAATACCCACTTTTACTATAGGTTAAGGATTACTGTTAGAACCTTATAAACACCACCACATATTTTTCCTGTTAAACTCATATTTAACACATAATTCTTAGACATACTAATTTTTTTTAATAACAGTTAAATTGTCTCTATCACCAGAAAAATAGGATGGAGTAGTTTCTGTGTTTATTTTACCCAGTTTGGGCAAAGAATTTAAAAAAAAAAAAAAAACCACTCTCACTCCAAGCTCAAGAATCCTTAATTACTTCTCTTTACCTTGAGGTTAAAAGAAAATTTTTAAAAGTTGTAAAGTAGATCAGTAAAATTTTTCTGTCACAAGAAGGTATCATGATGCCAATTTTCTACGAATCTGGGAAACAAGTAATATGACAAGAATTAGAAATTTAAACCCTAGAAGTCTAAGTACTCATGATTTATTTTTTTTAAAACATGAATGGAATAAGCACTTTTCTCCTTTTCAATGTTCATGCCCTCTTCATCAACACTGCTTGCTTTCAGGCACATCCCTGAGAGTATTTTTAAATTCACTGCCTGTTTTGCTAAGCTGAACCGTCTTGTAAAATCCAGTCTGGTCTCTAAATCGCTGCCTGTTTTATTCCAGATCTGCAGATGGGTGACGACACTGCAGTCTCCCGGGAGATCAGCCAGGCGGCACGGAAGCAAGGGGAGCACAGGCATGTAAGCTAACAGAGCCAGAAACTGCAGAGCCACCAAAAAGTACTTACGCTTGTGCAGCAGAGAGTCTCCATGCAGCGAAAAGAAAGGGGAAAAAAAATATGAATGGAAGAGAGATACAGCAGCAGCATTACAAGGAAGGGGGAGGGAGAGACACCATACACAAAAAGAAAAGCTACATAAAAAGCCTTCATAGCAAAGGAATGCGGCAAGAATGAAGCCAAACTATCATTAGCGTAAGGCTAGCTTTTCATAAGCATAGCTCTTATAAGCATAATTACAGCTTGAAAACTGTTAGAGATATTACAGATATTACCTCTTGCTAAGTGCGTGCCAAATGCCATCTACCAACCCTGTAAGGTATTAATCCCATTTGGGAAATGGAGACATCATATCTCCAAAGGCATATGGTGGACAGGATGCTGGATGAACATTAGCAAATGCCATGCAGGGTTTGGTTCTTAAGCCACAGGGCTGGTCCCAGCAACAAGGTGCTGACAGTGTGCCCACCAGTACGTGAAAACCTCCCTTCTTGGGGCTGTCTTTACGTCACTATATCCTGCCCACTGTGAGGCAGCAGCTTTGAGTTCTCTCTCCCCCTCAGTCACCAAAGCATTTTAGGCAAGAATCTGATGCCAGGGTCTCACACAGTTACCTACCTAAAGTGTCATTAACATTGATGGTACCTTATACCTTAGTGTGAATTTAGGTCACTTTACATTTCACATTAAATCTCTCAAATAATTTTAAAACCTCATTGATCATCATGAAGAACAGTCATTAGGGCATCTTAGCATTCTGAAATTTATAAAAGAATTTTTAAAAAACATAACAAAACCCAAAAAGCCTTGTTGCAGCATGTCAGGCTTTATGAAAACAATGTATGAAGATGGGAGGAATCTTTTCCAAATTTCCTGAAAACACACCTAGTCCATCAACCCAGGGCTCACTTTTTCCCTTCAAGTTCATTAGTCTGTGTTTGTCATTGTTTTCAACATGCAGCTGGATGAAAATACAGGACTCCTGAACTTGCAAATGCAAACAGTTGGGTGGTGCACAAAAAGCTTCCCATAACCATC